AATACCTCTTCATTTCTAACCTTTTCTACCCACGATATCCTCATCATCCGCCTATAACACCACATTTCGAACGCTTCTAACCTTTTCTTTTCCGCCGCTCCCACTGTCCATGTTTCGCACCCGTACACCTTTAACAACCTTTTTCGAATTTCTAATTTAACCGTTCGCGAGCATAGAAGTGACTTCTTTTTATTAAAGGCGACACGACCCTGGAAATCTATTTGTATTTTACATTTGAAATAACAAATCAAAAAAGTATTTGCATTTTGTATTTAAATACCATTTTGCACATTTCTGGTTTCTGTACCCTGTATATCTTTAAGAATTCGTTGTGATGCGGTTTGGATTGTAAGCAACTCCCAAAATTTCTCGTATAATCTAGGTATCGATTATAAGGAACCTCGATGATTCCATCTCTCTTGAAAAATCCGATACCTCTTTAACAGTCAATGACTTTTCTTGTAATGCATTTTCTAAATTCTTTCTTTGATTCTATTAAAAAACATCTAAAAGCGTTTGCGGTCTATTTGCTTTATTTTGAAAGTCATAAAAAGTTAATAAGCTTAAGAGCGAGATTCGTGTGTTTACGTCTGCTATTCGGATATTGGAGTTTTATGGCTGAACTCAAATAACTTTTGAAATTTACCAGCGACTATATTCATATTTATATTTATCGATAACGGAAAGAAGAAGTGGTTTCTACTTCCTCGATGAAACAGTTTATTAATATTCATCATCGGCATTCCTATAATTCCATTCAATAAGACAAAATTGCCCAATTTTCGTTCTTCTTTTAAAACTTTCATAAAAGTAGATAGATCATATGATATCAAAAAACACTTTCGTTATCAGCTAATTTATTTATAGGTAAAAGAACGTTAAAGTTTTAGTAATCCACTCAGCCCCATCGAGCCGTCATTATTATCTGTTGATAAAGATGATTGAAAATAGCAAAAGATGTAGACGTAGGTACAAATAACTCTTATAAAACTATTATGAAGTTTCATAATTTTCAAATAATAGTTAAAAAAATATATACATATAGAATGCATGTAAATTTAAAGTGTTGTTTGTTGAAAAACTTTTATGTAAACTTGTTAATAAAGACTGAAAATTTTTAGGTGGTTATAATTAAATAAATTTAGTGTTTAAGCTTTTTTGGATTTTTAATTAGTTCGCTATGATTGAAATGGGACCCGTTTGTTTTAAAGAGAATAATGCCAAAAGTTAGGAGATGAAAAGTGAGATACGCCACTGGTATTATATATTCTAAATATTTTATGGAAAGGATATAGTGCCGCCATCTATGCGAAATGCGACCAACATCGTCAAGTATACCAGAGGCGGGAACATCTAAATTTGAATGATAATAGACTGCATCAATATTAAAATAAACAATGAATGTAGTTATTTATAAAATTTAGTTATTACCTAATTAATTAGTTTTACAAATGAAATTAGCTTTCCTTGCAAAATAATATTATATATTTGTACATAATATTATATTAAAAATACTAATTGTGAATTTTATTTATTGGCCCAGAATTATAACATTCAACGATTGTACTCAAAACAAACTTATATTTTTAGCCACGTGTACCACGAGGAACTTTTTCGATGCGTGACTTAATTAATATGTCAACTTGAAGGTGTATTAACGAAATTTAAAATTAATGTAGATTTAGTATAAGACAATAAAAAAATCACTTGTATAATGAAAATTTATATGGACTAACTGCGTAGGTTTTACTAAAAAGGGATAAATAGATTTGTCTTCTTATAGTAGTAAT